AGTCCTAGTCCTAGTCCTACTGCTACTCTTACTCCTGCTACTCGTACTACTCCTACTACTCCTACTACTCCTACTACTCCTACTACTCCTACTCCTACTACTGCCGCTGCCGCCGCCACTGCCACTGCCACTGCCACTGCCACTGCTACTGCTACTGACAGCTGCTACTACTACGACGAAGACTGCCACTACTGCTGCTGCTGCTGCTGCTACTGCTAGCACTGCCTACACCACTGCTACAATCTCATCTCAGCGGCTTTGTCGAATTCGCGCCCTTTATGCGCACGGCATGTCCTGGGAATATGAGCGGATCTGGGGGCTATTCACACAAACAAATCACCCGGGCCTGTGCCGAAGAGCACAAGGCACCAAACGATGAGAGATCGCATGCACATGGCAATGCCAGAATGCACTGTGCAGGGAGCAGCGTCCGGCAGTGAAGAATTGTTGCTTGGCTGCGAGCCATGCGACGGCAATCGGGCTTACATCATCACGACTTGAAACAGAATTCGATAAACCTTCAGTGGGTGGGGCCTGGCAAACTACAGGACTGGGCCGTCAGCCACAGCATCGTTGTTGATGCTCATACCGAACCTCAGCAGTGTGCCACATCAAGGGGGCCAAGTCTTGCAGCTGGAATGCTTGCTACATGCATGCAGCATCAGACAGCACTGCTACGTTCCGTCCAGCCACTCCTCCAGGAGATAGTTCACGTTGGTGTTGCTTTTGCCTGCAACTGCGCGAGCACGACCCGAAAGCAATGGCCAGCCTCCGTGGCCCTGAAGCAATCCTTCTTCAAGCAGCAACGCCGGTCCAAGGCAGGACGCTAGCTGCCACTTTGGCAAGCCACGCACACCACATGGCGTCAAGGCAAAAATCTGCTGGGAACAACTGGGCAGCTGCCCGTAGGCCTTCTCCACCCTCACCGACCAGGAAGAGAATGCTGCCACCATCTGCCAGGTAGTCCTGCATGCTCTGGACATGAATTCAGCCGGTCTGGCCCCTGTGCAAGGTACAGCTCATTCATGACGCTGCCCTAAGTCGTGGCCTAGGAAAACAAAAAACAATCCCCAGACCCGCAACATGCAGATCCTTCAGCGCTGTAAACTCATCGACGGTGAACATTTCCCGAGGCCCGGCAAAGATCACCAGGTTGGCGACTCGCAGCCTTTCCGGCTTTGTTTCAGGTCTTAGGCTTGCTGGCGTATAGTAAGAGGAGGAACAACAGCAACATAAGAACAGCATAATGAAAATGCTGGCAATCTCAGCGATAACCGGGAGTCATCACATGTACACGAACGCCTGTGCATGTGTGCGCTGGCACGTTTGTGTGCCCGCCCCCATCCATACATCCATACAAACAAACAATCACGTACGTACATGCATACACACATACACACACAAACATATATATATATGTATATATGCATGCATGCATACATACGTACATACCTACATTCGTACATACGTACGTACATAACACATACATGCATACTTGCATGCATACTCACCTACTCACTTGCCATCTTACTTAGATACTTACATACTTACTTGATCTTACTGACTGACTTATTTACTTACTCACGTGTGAGTACATACACATATACGCAAACACTACAGTACAGGTTGGCCTTTAGCATGTGTGTATATTGTGTATGCATACAAGATTTGTACATACACATATGACTGCATTATGTTGAAAGCTCAGGTGTATGCTTCTTGTCCACTGTTGATATGATGCGTGTTCTTCTTCACTGTAAACTGTCTGCCTACATTGATCTTGCATTGATGCAGTGCGAGTTTGCTACATACAGTACCACGCTACATCATTATGCAGACTTCGGACACCAACCTCACATGAGTTACTGACTATTGCGAGCAGAGTCAGCAAAATACTGCGCTTCGCACGCAGTGGTTCTACAGTCATGCCGCATGTAACTCAACCAGGTCTGCTCCACCTCTCGATGTTGATGACCTCCTTGTTGGTGGAGACCTGTACAAGTTGCAGTTAATATACACGACGCCCTTCAGATGCGCCCCGGCAAGCAGCACTTCCAGCGCATGGAAGGCACTACTTTTGACACATTCCCGCTTGATTTGCACAGCCGGACGGAACGGGTGGACTCGGTAGACCCGGTAGACTCTTGTGAACAGCGGAGGATGTCGGGGATGCCCTGCCTTGTAATCTTGCTTGATGCGCCGATGCAGCTTCTTGTAGTTGTTGGACGGATTGCCCTGAAGACACTTCACTCACGCAACATCCAAACCCAAGCAGAAGGGTCCTAGCACACCAATGCATGTGACATCAACTTCTTGACCGTGCTTCGCCTGCTCTTTCTTCGACATGTCGAACATCACCTCCATGTCGGCAGCGACACCTTTCCCCTGTTGACAGTGAGTGCTCAATCAAAGCTCTTCGCGCTAATTTTCAGTTTCCACGCGACTCCTTCAGTCGTCGACCCTCAGAACAGAAAGCTGCCCACTGCCCGTTCTGTGGACGGCGAGCCTTGTCGTCTCCCATGGCTGCAGGCATTCTGCCTGACCACGAAACCATGGCATGACCAAAGGCTAACTAATGCACGGCATTTGCCTCGACCGCCAGGCGCTGGCGGCGTGTCGGGTCTCTGCACCCAGCGAGCCCAAAGCAAAAGCGGCGAGGTGTGATTTCTCGTCGAGCAGCTGGTGTTAGGCGCTTGACGGTGTTTGTCTGTCTCTCTGTCCGTCCGTCTGTTTGTATGTTTGTTTGTCTGTGTTTGTCTGGTGTGTGGGTACGCATGCACCCCTGTGTACAATGCATGTGCGCTTTAGGTGCTGCCACAAAGTTTTGGTGCATGAGGTGCATGAAGGCTCCTGGCATCTTGACATGAATCAGAGCGGCAATGCACAGCGCCTCCCGTCTAGGCAACTGCAGGTTGTCTGCAGCCTCAAGCACGTCAGAAGCGCAGATTTCAGATTATGCAGCATGGTGTCATAATTATGGGCATAAATGCGCTGTGACTGCATCGGGGTGGCTGGCTGCTATGTGCGGGGCAAATTTCATTTAAACTCATCCTCAAATGCCAAGGCTGAAACACTGACACAGAGCCCTTCGCTTGCACGAGGTTCAGGCCCGGGGCGTTGGCTCCAGCCATGCGCACGGAGGTCTGCGGAAGAGGAGGCGCTATTCGCGGCTATTAGCGGTGGGAACCCGCAGAGCGCGGGCTTGCACATGAATATTCATGAGATTTGCAGAGACTGACCTTCGGCTGCACATGCGACATGCTCCAGAACAGACACAAAGGACACTCACGAGCTGCTGGTCGCTCTCCGATCGTGAGCCTCAACGCCGACCATTGGCACACAAGCCCGGCTCCTACCTGCCGCGTCAGGTGGAAAGACCCAAACAAATACACTGGTTTTCTCTGCAGTGTGCAAAGTAGACTAAACTTTACTATGGTGCGCTTGGCTGCTGTGTTTGTCGGACTACGGCTTTCAAACAGATGAAAAACTTGGAGATAGGTCTGCCGGCAATGCTGCTGAAGATGATGACTACCATCTCACCCGTGTGCGTTCCTACATGTGAGTTTGTGCTACAACTCAGACTATGGAACTTACATAGTACAACTTGTATTTTGCACTCATGACCCAGAATTTGCAAAGTTTAAGGCAAGTGACCGCCAGCGCCAGCAGCGGAGCTCTTCGACCAGGCCTGACAGATCGAAAACCTTTTCTAGGTCCGAATCCATGTCTGGGCCACCCCCAGCCGCAGCTCGACTTGCATGCCAGATATGTAAGCCGTTTGAAGTTGTCCAGCTATCAAGCACGTTTGGCAGTAGCTTTTGCGAGATGCCAATTCGGTGCGCCTCATGGGTGTGGCTTTCGGCAGCAGGTCGCGCAACCGGGAACCAGAAACAGCTGCAGAGTTCCGGTTGCTTCGCAAAAGAAACAGCAAGCATGTTACAAGACATCTCTACGGGCCAAAACTTCGAGGCCTTGTGAACCGACTGCTGGTAACGTTCCTAGTACTATTCCTATCTCAGTACTGCACTAATTCTACTGTTATACCTCCTGCTCTGACTCCTTGTGCTACTTGTGCTTCTTCTGCTGCTGCTGATGCTGCTGCTGCCACTGCTGCTGCTG